GGACCAAATTATTTCACTGAATTCTACCAAACATTTAAAGAATTAATGCCAATCTTGGGTGCCTGGGTGGCTCAGTTGATTAAGCGTCTGCCTTCGGCTCAGGTCATGATCCTAAGGTCCTGGGATCGAGCTCCATATCGGGCTCTCTCTGCCTCTCCCCTTGCTTGTGCTCTCTCTCTCGCTTGCTCTCTCAAATAAATAAAATCTTAAAAAAAAGAATCAATGCCAATCTTTCTCAAACTCTTCCAAAAAACTGAAGAGGAAGGAACACGCCCAGACTCATTATATTACCAAAGCCAGCCAGATAAGGATACTATAAAGAAAAGAAAACCACAGGTCAATATCCCTGATGAATATAGATATAAAATTCTCAGCAAAATACTGGCAAACTGAATTCAACAGCACATTAAAGGGATCATACACCATGATCAAGTGGGACTTGTCCCTGGGATATAAGGATGGTTCAACATACTGAAATCAATAAATGTAATAAGCCTCATTTATAGAATGATAAAAATCATATGATCATCTCAATAGATGTAGAAAGAGCATTTGACAAAATTCAGCATCCTTTCATGATTAAAAAAACTCAACAAAATTGTGCATAGAATGTACCTCAATATAATAAAGGCGCTATATGACAAGCCCACAACTAACATCATATTCAGTGGTGAAAGAGTGAAGGCTTTTCCTCTAAGATTAGGAACAAGACAAAGGTGCCCACTACCAGAAGTTCTAGGCAGAACAATTAGGCAGGAAAAAGAAATAAAAGGCATCCATATTGGAAAGGAAGAGGTAAAACTGTCTCTGTTTGCAGATGACATCATCTTATAGATAAAAAATCCTAAATAACCAAAAAGCAAAACAAAAACAAAAAAACAACTAATAAATGAATTCAGTAAAGTTGCAGGATACAAAATCAACATACAAAAATAAGTTGTGTTTGTATACACTAATAACAAACTATCTGAAAAAAAGAAAACAATCCTGTTTATAATAGCCTCAAAAACAGTAAGATATTTAAGAATACATTTAACCAAAACAGTGAAAGATCTGTACACTGAAAACCATAAGATACTGATGAAAGACACTGAAGAAGATACAAATAAGTGGAAAGATATTTTGCCCTCATGGATTAGAATTAATAGTAAAATATCCATACTACCCAAAGCCATTTATAGATTCAATGCAGTCTCTATCAAAATCCAATGGCGGGGCACCTGGGTGGCTCAGTCGTTTGAGCGTCTGCCTTTGGCTCGGGTTGTGATCCCAGGGTCCTGGGATCGAGCCCCACTTCGGGCTCCTGGCTCAGTGGGTAGCCTGCTTCTCCCTCTCCCTCTGCCTCTCCCCCTGCTCATGCTCTCTCTATCTCTCTGTATCTATGTGTCTCAAATGAATGAATAAAAACCTTTTAAATAAATAAATAAAATCTAAAAAAAATCCAATGGCATTTTTCACAGAAATAGAAAAAACAACCTTAAAATTTGTATGGAACCACAAAAGACCCTGAATAGCCAAAGCAATCTTGAGAAAGTAGAATAAAGCTTGAGGTATCACACTTCCTGATTTTAAACTATGTTACAAAGCGATAGTAATCAAAACAGTATAGAACTGATGTAAAAACAGATACATAGACCAATGGAGCAGAATCAAGAGCCCAGAAAGAAACCCATGCATATACAGTCAACTAATATTTGACAAAGGAGCCAAGAATACTCAATGGGTAAAGGATAGTCTCTTTAATAAATGGTATTGGGAAAATTGGATATTCTCATGTAAAAGAATGAAACTGGACCCCTATCTTTCACCTCACAAGCATTATTTCAAAATGGATTAAAGACTGAAATATAAGACCTAAAACTGTAAAACTCCTGGAAGAAACAGGAAGCACTTTGACATTGGTCTTGGCAATGATTTTTTGGATATGACACTAAAAGCACAAGCAACAAAAACAAACATTAACAAGTGGGACTATATCAAACAAAAAAGCTTCTGCACAGCAAAAGGAACAAACAACAAAATGAAAATGCAACTTATGGAATGGTAGAAAATATTTGCAAACTATCTGTCAGATAAGGGGTTAATATCCAAAATATACAAGGAACTCAAATAACTCAATAGCAAAAAAGCAAATAATCTGATTTTTAAAATGGGCAAAGGATCCAAATAGACACTTTTCCAAAGCCTACCAATGGCCAATACATACATGAAAAGGTGCTCAACATCACTAGCCAACAGGAAATGCAAATCAAAATGACAGTATCACCTCACACCACACAACAGTGGGAATGGCTATTATCAAAAAGAAAAGAGAGGGCGCCTGGGTGGCTCAGCTGGTTAAGCAACTGCCTTCGGCTCGGGTCATGATCCTGGAGTCCTGGGATCGAGTCCCACATCGGGCTCCCTGCTCGGCAGGGAGTCTGCTTCTCCCTCTGACCCTCTTCCCTC